TCCGAGGAGCTTTTCTTCCTCAAGGAGCAAGAGTTTCTAGGGCATTGGTCGTGCCCTTTCGTCAAGGTGGAACACGAAAGGATACAACTCATTTTTCGACCGACTTAGTGCTAAGCAGCGCCCGCTGAGTTGTTATATATGATTTCATTTGTTACAAATTGTGTTTCATTTGGTTATATTGTATCGTTATACCCTTGTATCGTGATATCACATTGAATTCTTGTGTACATGTATGCCAACATAATCATGTATCTTCACTGTAACGTCATGACGTTAGTCGTGAAATATAGATGTGCCGAAGTGTATGTGCCCTGTTACTAGAATGGTATGAAGCCTCTGTGTTCTGTACATGCTGTAAATAAAATTTTTATAAACTCGATTTAGCTGTGATCGCAGCGTGTAGGGCCCACGGGACGGCTTAATGCTCTCCCACAGTAGAGTACGAAGTACTCTAAGTCGTTCACCATTCATTTTAAACACTGCAGTGTCCGGATAGACACTCATCAGGTGTGAGGCCCAATGGGACGGCTTTGTGCTCTCCAATGGTAGAGTACCAAGTACTCTAAATTGTTAAACCTTGTTTCTGAACACATAATGTTCTGTTAGATTGTACTTCATGATCGCTGTTCATGGGAACAAATTTTTCTAAGTACATAAAACTGCAAGTTAGGTACATTTGCGCCATGGATGGCTTTCATCTCTCCCATAGTAGAGCACCGAATACTCATATCGTTAACCTCTTCTTCTTAACACACATAAAAGCTTGCACTCTAAATATCCACGAACAACAGTGTATATGCTTTTGTGTACACACAAGTTATGTAAGATGCATCTGGAAACAAAATTATCTAAAACGATGGTACCGTAAAGGTGACAGCATGCATTTGCTGATGAGATCACATTGTATTTCAAAACTGGGAATAGTTTATCCCGTAGCCTATGACTTGTTTCTGAGTAAGGCATGATTTCGGGTGCTGCGTTAAAGTTTTCATAATGTCATAATTTATTCATTGGTTCTCCAGTCGCCTGCCTAAGTCCCTTTTTCGGTCTTCAAAGAAGGAACACTCTTCGCATTCTGGGGCTTGATTGTACTTGCTAAGGCATATCAGCCTCTCTGTTGATTTCAGTAGTCGAAGTTCTAAAACAATACGCCCAGGAAGCACGAGAGTATTATTTATGGATGCTTGAAAAAAAGGCATTCGGCACAGTCTGTGTTTCGCGGCCGTACATGGTACATAGCACTTGTCGTACAGCGCCCATTACGAATCTCTAAGTCGTTGGAATCCCTCATTGGCTCATTATTTGGTCAAGTGGAACAGAGCTGGTTTGCCGAGCAGCACTTGGGCAACCGAGAAACTGCGGTGGATTCGCATTCCCATCCGTGTCTGTTCGCTGCCGGTTGCTTGCCGTACGATTCTTATTTCGCTTTGCAAAGTGTTTTTGGTTGGATAAGTGGTATCTGAGATGGTGGTGCTTTCAGAAAAAAAAAAGAGGGGGCGAAACAAATCATCGATGCAAAAAACGAGGAATACAAAAAAAAGAGGAGAGGTTGCTTGGCAGAATGAGTGGTGTGGCGCTCGACGTTTCTGTGGAGGGGGGAGGGGAGGCAGTAAAGTTAACCCATATGACAGCCCGGCTCAACATTCTAAGACGAAAAGAACATTATAGTCAAAGAAAGAGAGGAAGAGAAGTCACCCTTTTGAAATACTAGCGGTATTTTCTGTTGATGATGGGAGAGATTACTATCCTTGCTGCTGCATTTTTTTGTCTCGTTTTCAGTCGTGCTGCCATGGCTGTGGCAGCAGTTCTTTCTTTCTTTTTTTTGCGCAAGACGGAAGTGCGAACAGTGCTGAGACCACGGAGGAAGGAAAGGTAGGAAAGGGCATGCCCAGCCGGCACGCTACGTGAAAAGTGTGGAGGAAATGACATCACGGCGGCCATATTCACTAGCCACAATGGCGGCGGTGTTATGGTTACGTATTGCGCAGTGTAGCTGGTCTAGCAGTGAGCGGCTCCGACTGGCGGTGGCATGAGTGTATCCGCAGATCTCATGCTGAGCCGGGGCGGACACTAGAGAGCTTTAGTACTGCGTACGCTGCGTACGTGGCGGCGTTGCGTACGCAAGGACGCCACGTTCTGCGTAGTGCGCATGCGCAGACCGCAACGCGCACGTATCGCATTATGTACGCAGCCGCTAGGTACGCACGCATGAGATGCGTGCGCGCGTACGTATGAGGTGATCGCGCCGCTCTCGAAAAAGTTCGCGACAGCGTGAAACTTCGTTTTGCAAAATGGCGGCATCGAAGGCAAGCGCCGACCGGCTCTGTGGCTTAAAATATGGCCACAATCTGGCTATAACACTTGGATTGGCTCACATTGGCTGTCAACAACACGTGCTTCTATTTTGATCTATCAGATGGCGCAACACGCTTCACGCTCGTTACGTACGCGGGTACTACGGCGTACTAAAAGCCGATTAGTGGCAAACGACGCCACGTAACGCAAGGCGCTTGCGTAATGCGTAGTACTATTCCGCAGTACTAAAACTCTCAATATCCGTGCTGTGCGCCGCGTTATCGGTTACGCAGTGCTCTCCTGGCAGTTACTCTTAGCAACGTATACAATTCCTTTCGTCCACCATGGGCCTGAACAGTGTGTACAACCAGCGCATATACATTTGTTATGTGGCGGATGACGCGAATGAAGCGTTTGAAGTGTTCAGCGAAATAGCGTTGGGCACCGTGACGAAGCGGAACGACGATGACCGCCGGGCTGGTCAGTGACGGTTGGACAGCGCTCCTGCTTGTGGCAATGGACGAAACTGTTGTGCCCAGCAAGGCGAGATGAGTACCATGTGCACATACGTGGTTTCGTGTTTGGTATGTGTACAGTAACAACTTGCATGTGCGTAATAAAACAAATTTTCTGTTCCGCTTGTTATACTCGCCCCCAGCATTGTAATCTCAACATTAAAGCAACCGCGTCCATGTGTCACTTGCATCGTGCTGAAAGTCACCACGGTCACAGAATGCTGACGTCGGTGAGTTTCACGAGGATTACGGGCACAGTGGCCGGGCGCTGCGTCGGCCTTGTGTCGGAATGCGACCGTGGAAAAAGGCGTACGACTGATCGTGATGTCTGTACAGCTGCTGAATTAATGATGTGAAAACACTCGCCGTTGTCAGTGCATCCAGCGCCCATTCTCTTGTACTTGCTTCATTGCTGGCGAGCTGTTACTGAAATGATTGCGCCGCAGGTGTCGAGCTCGCCCAGTGTGTTAGCCCCCGTGCACTCTAAAAAAAGACCGAGTAAAAAGGGTGTCTTTTTTGTCCCACAACAATAATCGTCATCTATATTGCGTTCTATCCTTGCGATATCGCCCCGTGCCAGGTACATCCCGGTCACGATCGACATGCCCATTATAAGGGTTACATTGCATTCTCGATAGGAAATTGGCCAGCGCCGATTGATTGATTGATTTGTGGGGTTTAACGTCCCGAAAACACCATATGATTATGAGAGACGCCGTAGTGGAGGGCTCCGGAAATTTTGACCACCTGGAATTCTTTAACGTGCACCCAAATCTGAGCACACGGGCCGTGGCCAGCGCCGAGTTTTCAAGAAAGGAAGCGCACGCAAGCCTGATGACGATTTTCGTTGTGGGACAAAATCACACCCTTTTTACTCGATATTTTTAGAGTGTACCATTAGCTTCGGATCAACACGACACGCGCGCTGCGCAGCCCACGTGCTTTCCGAGCCACGTGCTTTCCGGCCCGACTATACACAGAGACAAATAGCGCGTATTGCGCTCACACATCACTATCAAGTGTCTCCCTCAAGACACAAAAAAAAAAAAAAAAAACACGGTTCATGTGTCGAGTGTCGACAACTCGCCCATTCCATCACTACTACTGTGACTCTATTCTAGCGGTGCACTCGAAAGATCAAAATGCAGTTACCACTGGGAAATGCACACTAAACTTGCGCGCGCCCGGGAATAGGCCAACTGCCTGTCGTCACCACCTAAAAGGCAGGTGACCGCTTCGGCTCGAAGGACATAGATGCATGACATATTCGCACTCATTTGACAGAGGAAATGGTTCAACAAGTTAAGTGCACGACCGAACAAATAGCAAGGCTTGACCCAATGTCACAACAAAAGAAAAAGGGAAAAAAAATAAAACGCCCATGTGGCACGGACGAGTTTCTAGGCAAATGCCTGTACTACTTTTGACAACCTAGTAACAACACTGCCCGGTCGTGTGCCTACAGTACATATTACCGGACGGGAGGCCGCATAAAGACCGTTGCGCTGACATCCGACTACATGGAAACATGCCCAAAGGCGTTGAAATACAAAATTGCAAGAAATACGTTGCTTGTCTTAAGAAGACAGGTGCAAACACACTAGGTGCGGAGTAACCCGATTGGAACTTTGGCACGGCAATAAACCGACAGGAAAGCGCCACACTCGCGACACCGACAATGAGGTACCTTTTTTTTGGCATCTAAAAAAAGGGGGGGGGGGGGGAGCGGGGATGCTCGGCACATGTCCAAAGGCAGCCCTTTAAACCCAAGGCCCCAGACAACAAGTTAGAGCGCAAAACTGTTACGGCGCGCTTATTAGAAATAGGCATTGCGCAACCCAACAAGACAAAAAAAAAAACCCCGTCCATATGGCGCGGACGGGTATCTAGGCAAACAGCCGTGCCCTTTGGACAGTTAAGTAAATAGCAACACTGCCCGGCCGTGCATCTACAGCACACATTATCAGACGGAACTTCGGCGGCGATAAGCCGACAGGGAAGCGGCACACTTGCGACACGAACAGTGAGGTACATTTTTTCCCCTCTCTCCTTGCGTCTAAACCAAGGAGGTTTAAAAAAAACTTCTGGAGTGGAAGCGCCTGCCCTCTGGTGACGCCGACGGCTGCCATGTTGCTCCAGGCAAAAAACGTGCCGTCAGTCGTTTGGGCCCCCGCCGTTTGCGCCACTGAACAACAGTTGTCGCGTTTGTCCCTCGTTCTTTTGTTCTGTGCGGATTTTGTGCAGTTCTAAAGGAAGTTGACACGATTCCGGACGTTATGGTGAGCTCGTGTGTCGCCTTCGGCTGCACTAATTGTGCGAAGCAGAAGCCAGGAATCACTTTTCACGTGTAAGTACGCGGGAAAAAGCGCTTTCAATCGCTTGTCTCCTTCGGCGCACTACCTCATTCGAGAAGCGCGGTTTCAGCTGAAAACTTACTTTCATTAGCATTTTTCAGCTGGCGAGTAGAAGTTGAATAACCTATTTTGTGCGTGTGGTACCGCAGGTTTCCGAAAGACAAGACGCTGCGTGACGCATGGCAGCGTGCTGTTCGGAGGGATGGCTGGGAGCCTAAGAATGCGGACGTTCTCTGCTCGGAGCACTTTGAAGCCAACTGCTTTGACAGGACGGGCCAAACGACCAGACTGCGACCAGGGAGCATTCCTACCATTTTTCCTGCGTTCCCTGCGCATCTCCAGAAACCAGTGAGTACCATCACGAATGTACATTTTCGTTACGGTAAATAGGCTATAGATTTCCGAATGTGTAGGCACAGTTTCTCGTTTCCTACGTGCTGTTCAAAATCACACCACTCTGTGACAAAGCGCACGTCACGTACACTTACTTGTCCAACTTTTTTTTTTTCACTGTGCGTGCATAAATACGGGCACGCTAAACTTCCGCACCGAAACTATAAAAAGATCCCCGAGGTAGTAATCCCGTTTCTAGTCAGTCTAAGCAGTGGGTGGGACCATTATACCCGGCTTCTGAACATTGGAGCATAACTGATTTTTTTTTCTTGCAGGCGAAAAGAAAGCGAGAGGCCCCTAAGTGTCGGACTGCGCTGTCACCTGTCGTCAGTGCTGAGGCAGCGGTTGAAATGCCATCTGAGCCTTCTTCGCCGGCGAAGGATTGGTACCGTTCCAAGGCAGAGGAGTCTGCACAAGAGGTTCTCCAACTAAAGAAGAAAGTTAAGACACTGCAGCAATCCAAAAGAAGGCTAAGCAAGTGGTGTGATGCGTCAGAAAATTTGATCAAGGAGCTAAAAGAGAGGAAACTTTTGTCAGAAAAAGGCCTTGAGGTCTTTGAAGCAACTTTCTCGCCTGAAATTCAACAGCTTCTTGTCCGAGCCCATGAAAAAACAAACAAGATGTACCCCCCAGAGCTACGTGCATTCGCACTCACTCTGCACTGCTACTCTGCGGCAGCGTATGAGTATGTGTTGCTTCCACCCTGTGTTGCTTCCACCGTGAGCCTCATTTCGAGAATTGCAAGCGAATCCGCACTTACAGCAGCTAACCGTTGTAATGCATATTCGCTAATACGTAATCGCGTACGGCTCACGTGTAATATCGTAACTGACGGCTTTGTACAGATCTTGTTTATCTAACACGAAGAAAAAAATGCGAGTTAAATTAATTACACTAAGTGCCCCGTTTCATTCGAAAAAGCCGCCACGGAAGCGCGCTGGATACGTTGTCTGCGCTCTGTCTTGCCTGGAGCAAGATGGCCGCCAACCGGTTTCCCCGGCTTCACCCGCTTGCGTAGGCGTGAATAGGGGACCTCCACGCCAGAAGTTTTTTTTAAACCTCCTTGGTCTAAACTACTAAAGACCAGCAAAAAAAAAGAAAAAAACGGGGGGGGGGGGGCGTAGCCCGACACATGTTCAACGACTTTTCAAAGGCGAGAAAGTCACAGACGGAACGAGAAAAGAAGGAGAAAAAAAAACCTTGCATGACAGTAATGTCACAGTTTCGGGCACTACTGGTGACACATTTCGGGGATGCTCGGTCAGTTTTGGGCGCCACGCTGATGAGGGCAGCTCTGACAACACGTAACGGTGGGGAAGTCATGGAATGGACCCACCTATCAGTAGAAATCGCTGTCTGTGTCGACGTCGCCCGTCGCCGGCTGCTGGCTTGAGCGTTGCTTTGACTTCACCTCCTCGTGTTCGCTTCCCGGAGTGCTGTCTCTCCGGTGCCCTGCAACGTCACGTCGCGCCTTCTTGGTGCTGCATCGAGTACGCTTCTCGTCGGTCTCGGTGTGAGCGCCCGGGCCCGAGGGCCTGAGCGACAGGGAAAGGATGCTACCGTGGGCGGCCTCGGGGTCGCGACTCCGGCTATTCCGCCCGCGGCCGACACCTGCCGGCATCGAGAAAGCTTCCTGTGGAGTGCGGTTCAGAGGTTCGGGTGTCGCTGCCCGCTCGTCGATGACGAGCTCACCGGGTTCCAACTCGTCTGACGATGCTGCTCCCGTCTGCCCCTTCAGCTCGTCCGCCGCCGCCATCTTCCCCTCTCGGTTCGGCTTCATCCCCACGGCGCCATGTTGGCTTTCCTCCTGGCCACGCCGCTGCGACGCGCCGCCATGTTGCGGTGCAGGTTCGGACGGCTGTTGCCGCCGGTAGGGACTGGACGGTTCGGTGCGCTTGGGCGTGCCTTCTCCTGGCGCCTTCTTGGACGTTTGCTGTTCGGCGGGGCTGCTGAGGGTCTTGCCAACTGCGGACTGCCGGACCTCGCCGTGCCGCACGTCGTCGTCATCCCCTTTCATGTTCCACCACTCGCTGCGTGTTGCGACGCTGGTTACTTGCTCGGTCTTTGCCTTAAGGCTAGGCCTCCACCCTCCCTGTGACCCTTTGAGCGCCGCGAGGCAGTCCTCCTGGTTGTCTTTCCCGTCGCAGCGACCTCGTTCGAGGCAGCTCTCCTCAACGGCCATTTCCTCGACGCTAACCCAGCTGACCACACTGGCTGCGTCGTCCTCCGTCTCGTCGTCACCGCTCGCGCTTCTTGCACTGTGTTCCGCTTGCTTCTCTCCCTCGCCGCTGTCTCCCTCTCTGCTTCGGCGGCGGCAGCATAGCTGGGCGTTGCCGGCAAAACTTGGCTGCCCTCCTCCTCCTGTCGCTCTTCTAAGCGCATGCTCACTTTCGGCGGCGCCTCTACCTGGCTGGCTGCTTGCCGCCCCTCCTGCGTCGTAATGGACGCCTCTTGCGCCTGCGTTTTTTCGGGGATATGTGATTCCGGGCCATCCTCTGCATCGTTGGGTTTTTGTCTCTTTGCCGGACGCAGGGTGGTTAGCCTCCGCTGCGGCTGCTCGGTAGCTGACGCCGTGGCGAGTGTCGGGAACTCGTCCACTTCCATGGCTGCCGCCATACTGTATGTCTTCCTTGCGGTGCAGTCGACGCTCGCATGGGCGCCGCCGCAACGTCGACACGGTTCGGTGCAGGTGTCCGTGCGGTGTCCAAAGACTCCGCATCTTGCGCAGTGGGGGGTGTCACACTGGGCCCTGAAGTGGCCCTCCTGGTTACAACGGCGGCAGAGGCGTCTCACGCCGCGGTATTCAAATGTGGCCCTATGGCCACCAACTCGAGCGAAATTTGACAGCGGCTTTTCCGGCCGCATGTCTATTTTAATGTATCCTGTTCCTGTGCGGATACTTGGGCGATCCTTGTAGTGTGCCTCCTCAATTCTTAGTGTGGTTCCGTAGGACTTCAGGCCTGTCACGACCTCATTGTCTGGTACGTAGCAGGACAAGTAGAGGCAGGTGACGCTTGCGACTTGCCGTGCTACTGGTACGAGTGGGACTGCTCTGGTTCCGAGGCGGAGACCGCCGCATTCAAGTAGGACCAGGACTGCTCGGGTCGAATTGACTCCGACTTGAAAATCGAAGCCGCCGTGATGTTGTACGCTATAACTTTTCTGAAGTCCGACCAGGGTTTCCAGGGCGTCGATGACCTCGTCCACCGACGTTCCCGGTGGCGTCCGGACATTGAAGAAGTTTTCCTTAGGAGGGGGCATAGTGACGACCCACGTGCCGCCCACGCGCGGGTATTTGCTCGGTAGACTGAGATTCCGGCGGCCGGGAGAGCTGCGAGTAAAAGGCGAAAGATTGATTCGACTAGCTGAGGAAGCACCTGAGCGATGAATAACGCATGGCCCACACTCCGGGGTGCTGAAAAGTAACCAGAAAACTTGGCCAAGCATATATAGCGGCTTTTTGTAGGTTTCAGGCTTTTAATCTCTTACACGTGTGTTATCACAGATTTTTTCTCTATAAGTCTCATTTATAACGTATACCTTTTAATGAATGGATGTCAAATATAGCGATGTTTATTTCTGTTTAAATTCCAATTATTGGCGAGAAATGCTTGAAGCCATGTACACTTCCATCAAAGTTTGTTTGGAAGTGCCGAAGCAGCACCTCCTTTATTTTTTTTTCAGTGCCTGCTGCGTCACGCCCGTTTCCATTGCTCTACGATTGGCACTCTATTTCTCCAAGTCACCGTGTGGTGGCTTCAAGTTATTACCCTGTCGCGTGGCCTCTCTCTGCTTGACTGCTATGAGTGGATGCGGCGCAGCCACTGGCTTTTTCCAATTTTATGTGATTACTTTCCTTCTTGTTCGGTAATTTCGCATCCGTGCATTTGTTTTGGTGACGTATTACGAAAAAAAAAACGCGTCGTAAGGTGTCTTATTTTTAATTTGCAAGCGCTTGAAGGAGTGCTCTGCCGAATATCGATCCCGATCGAAATATGAGTGGAATTCACAGGTTGAATTAATAAAACAAGACATAGCGATTTTATAAGGAGAAAAGACAAAAATAAAAAAAATTAGTCAGTACAAGTTAAAAAAAGAACCGGTTGACCCGAAACCACTTGTCAGTCCAACCTTAAAAGCAACCTTTTAAAGCTTCAAAAACTTCCGTGACAACGGCTTCCTTTGATAAATCCTGGCCACAAATTATCTATCGTTGAAGTCGACAGCATAGTTTGTGAACAGTGGCTTCATAAACTTTCTGCACACAATTAGGTTCCATTAATTTGCGCCTTTTGGATTTGGTCACAACAGTTACACAGCAGTTCTGGCAGGCCAACAATCACATCCGCTCTCTTCACGAAGCACGTCTGTAGAGGCTTAAGGAGAGCTGCGCGGTGCAGAAGCATCACGTCCAGAAATCTTTTCAGGGCATGCAGCATTCGCACGAGCTCCACAGTGGGAGAAGCCACCTCGGTCCTGGTGGGGCAAAAAAAGAGAGAGAGAGGGACAGTGACAGACAAACGATCAAAAAAATGGATCAAACCATTTTAATTAACGAAAAGACACTCTTGCACAACTATAGGTGCGAACACAAACCCAGGCTTTTAGGCCGTTCGGTTGCGCTTTGCTATCTGTTTAAGCGCAGGTCCCTGAAGAGACAGACGAAATATTTCTCGTGTTTTTCTCTCTTGTGAGTGTCGCATAGAATAACCATTGGGGCAGAGCAAGTTGCCCTTCACAAGAGCCACAATAATACGAATGTTGTGCGCTCTTGTGTAGCTCCGAGAATATGGAGCGCGTCCATAAACGTAATTTTAGACTGGCCAGAGACACTCATAAAAGTATTCAGAAAGTAAAAATATCAAAATACACTTGCTGGAAGCCTAAAAATACAAGTACTGAACGATATTTATTGAAGACATAATGAGATATTAGAAAGATAGTTTTTCAAAAATTTGAAAAGTGTATCCCAGAATACATTTACACGAGCACATATACAGTACAGGCACTAAAATATTTTAAAGTAAATTGGGTATTGATGTTCCGCGTGTACATTGAATAAATGTACCGTAACATTGTCGATATTGCGGCAGATAATTAAAATGCTCTCAGCCGTATCACTGTACTCCATAACAAACCACTGATGAGAAGTGATCTATGCTCTTATTTCACACATATGGTCGGTCTGTTTTGCCGAGAAGGTTTACACTAACTAAAATAACAGAAGCTTCTAAAATAGACTTTCAGTAGGCAGAGTGCCGGTAAAGTTTGAATTCAAGACTGGCGATATGGAGAAGTCTGTCTCTTATTGTGGGCGAACACAACTTCGTGTTATAAAACTAAGTACCGAAATTGTTCCCGAAAATAAAACTGACAGTGCTTCACTGGCCTTGACCGAGATCCAAGACAGCCTCCTCAATCCTACCGTCAGTCGCGTCAAACATATCACCATATAGGACATCCTGTGCATATATAGGGGATTCCAGGCTAATCTCCATGTGTCGCTTACTGGCGGGGCACTTTTGCCTTACCAAGCTATGTGCTTACAAGCCTTTTCTTTCGATATTCGATACACGCCGGCTCAGTTCCTACGAAAGAGTAGCGAGATAACCTTGTCTTCGCAGTATATTGATACATTCTATATACAAAGAGAAAGTATTTCACTACTGCGATACAAATACATTCTTCAAAAGTATCTATGAGATGCTTCGCGGTACTGTCCGGCCCTGTACTACAAATTTCGTGAAGGGTACAAACGACCACCGCAGT